GGGCGAGCGTGGAAGAAACACAAACCACCTCCACTTTCCTGTGGGCTTTGGCACTCCATACCGGTGGACAGGAATTAGCTTTCCAAATGCATAACTCTCAGCCCAATTCCTCTTCAAGCTCCTTTATGCCACAACATTTCTGGGCTTGATCCCAAGGAGCTTGTCTTGTGAGGTGCAGTGAGCAAGACACCACGAGGGTCCTGAAACAAACCCTGCAGGTGGTGCAGGGACTGCAGGAGGCAGCTGCAGTTCTTCCTCTTACATCCCCATGTCATGACAGATCGATGCAGTGTCATCCCTCTGCGATGTAACTGTCCTGCCATCGGTGCTTGAGCCATGAGAAAATTGTGTAATTAATAATCATTACGTAGATTTCTGCAGCATCTCTCATCCAAGTGTTCCAAAGCTCTTTACAAATACTCATTAATTAAGGCTCATAAATTGTAAATTTCATAAAAGGTATATGGGGATGTCTTCAGGGCTGAGGTGAAGCCGTCTCTGGGGCAGGATGTTGCAGCTGATCAACACCATATACCAACTGCATTTTCTCTTTTGATATTATTTTTGTTAACTGGTGCTCTTTCATACGTTTTTGTACATGTGCCCAGAGGCTGGTTTGAGGATAATGAACTGAATTATTATATATGTTTTTTGTGTAACGAACTGAATTATTTAATTGGCACATAACATAAGAGGCTGCTAATAAACTAAAATATTCAAAAGGTGAGCAAATGTGAAAGAATGGGATAAATCATTTAGGGAACACTAAATTAACATCTTCTGTCAAAACAGTTTGCACCCAGTCCTTTACAAACATGCAAAATAACTGACAGTCTAAAGAGAGCCCTAATACAACCAGTCTGATCCTCCAGTATACTGCACACAGATTTCTCTTTATTTCCATGTAACTGTGTGTGGTTGAAGGGTCTGTTTTGCAGATCAAGCTTTAGGTTTCAATTTATATGTTGGGGTTGAAGCAGGACGCAATGTAGTACAGGGTCCTGGTCCGCCAGGCTGCCTAAGTTGCAGTTTGTGGTAAAATTCCCAAGGGGGTCTGTATCCTGGACCCTCTTTCTGACCTTACACACTGATCTTTTTTCTACTGCCAAGCCCATAGATCCCGACTGATGTTGCTTCTTTGGTTGAGCAGTGGAAGAAGCAGGCATGTTTTCTAACAGGTTTATTTAGCGACACATATCTGCTTCAAGCAGAGTGGACCCTTTCATGCTGGGACAGGCAGTCTCCCGAGACTGCCCTACCAGCTGCAAAGTGACAATTGCTACCATCAATGAGGCGAGGCTGTCAGAAACCTGGCCAGCTGGCAACATGATTTTGGGGTGGGTACATTGTAGGCATCTCCTGTCACACTCGATGAGGAAGACCTTCTATGTTGCAATTAATTTTCAAACAGCAGCTCTTTTTCCAAAAACCTCATCCAACCTGTCAAAGTCTTTGGGATAATTCAATTATCTTTGCATCGGATTCTAGATAATTGATGAAAACTCAAGCTACAAGTATGTTTGGCATGAATTACATTTCCTGGGCTGAAATTTTCTCCCCTTTTTGGGAACATGCAGAAGGGCTGAAGCTCCAATTCACAGTTAGTCACTCAGCCTTGGACCCTGGAGATCTGAACTGGAAGCACGAGTAACATCAGGTTCTGGAGTTTTAACAGAACATGACAGTTTAATTATCTGAGCAATCGGTTGAAATATGACTTCAGGACATAGGCTGGCCAACATCAGAGAAGCTGGGGGACACCTTCCTAAATTAAAATATTGGGGGGAAAAAAAAAAAGCCTCACTGCCGGGTGATTTTTCCCTCTCCATAGCTAGAAAAATAAACAAACTTTAATATTTGAAAATATCTACATGGGATGCTCTTGTTTGGATGGAATTAATAAAGCAGAACAAGACTTTGTTGATAGCTTGGCGTCTTTGACTCAGATAATTAATCACGGGGAACTGCTCAGCTCAATTACAGCATTCAGAAAAACACAAATGTAACAAATCGTGTTACAGGCCATTGCCATTTCTCACATCTTTGGGACAGTCTATTTATTATTTACGTATATTTACATGATGTTGGGATTCTATCTCATATATAGACTTCTCACTACTTTGGGAATACAAATAATAAAAACTATATGACTATGGGCTTTAACAGCCTCGATCTTACTCTGGAATCGATAATAATGTCCAAAATGTATAAGAAGTCAAAGATGCCTTTGTACAGAAACAACACTACAAGCTTAAAAATCATGTGTTCCAAATATTGCCATTAGCATTGTTAAAAAATTACAGAATATTATTTCAAACAAATAATCAGACATCTTAGACGAACTTGCAAAATAAGCACTACAAATACTAATCACTAAGAATCCAAGAATTAATGGTCGGAGAGAGTGGAAAAGATGCAGCACATACATATAATGGTGCACAGCAGGATGCTGGGGAAGCTGTAAAATTGAGAAGATGCAACTGATATCATTGCAGTAGGGGTGTTCCAAAACTGCAATCGCAGCAGCTTCAATTATAGACCTGTACTTTTCTCTTTTTTTTTTTTTAATGGGAAAACAAGTGGCTGCATGCACACATAAAATTCATTGCAGATTTGGATGTGGCTGACCTCAGTCCATTAGCCTTAAAGGGAACGGGGGGGTTAGGAATTGC